CTACCCCATTAAAGGCTTCTTTCTTGATATGTAGTTAATAACAAAAGATACACTGCGTGTTTTTGGTTGTTAGACATAGTTTGGACAAAGTTGTCAGTGATTGTTCCTATTGTAAAGTCAGTGTGAAACCCTCTGTCGCCGATTCATCTTGCAGTGTAAACAAAGCAGCAACACACTAGCCCAGATAGTCATGTAGTGTGAAAACATCTGTGACACGATTACTTTGAAAGTCATGCAGTCTGAACTCGGCATTAGATGGAATCTCGCCAAGTCTTAGGCCCCGTTTACACTAGTACGTTTTAGTTTTAAAACGGCGTTTTAGAATGAAAACGATCCGCGTCCACACTCGCGTTTTACCCAGCGTTTCTGAACTGCTCTCCGTCCACACCAAAACGCTGAAAACGCACATCACGTGACCACACAGACGCTCTCGGGCAAGCGCTGCGCCCATCTACCCAGTTGAGAGCTGTGCTAGTCGGACTTCTCATCAAGCATCTCCCGCTGGATCTAATCTCACTATATTTATTAAACGGGATATTTCATTTATCTTGTTGTCTTTATCTAACGACATATTCCCTGACTTTGGGCATTGGAATCTATTACTTGTTCTCAGGTAATGTGTTTTGGCTGAGCGCAAAGATAAGTTAATGATTAATGTAACCACGTAGCCTATTCTGTATATTGACTGATCTCTTGCCTTTATTTCCTATAATGTATAAACTTATTGTATGTTATACTTTTTAAATGGCCATTATCGATTCTTAAAACTGATACTCAGCAAAAGAAAGGGTGTGTTTCGTATTTTCACTGAAATTGAAAGGAGACAGTTGTTATCAACTCCGTTTTGTTATAAATATGCACACAGTGAAGATGACGCTCATCTTATGCAGCACGACGCCTCAACATTTCTGCTGTCTAAGTTGCTAATATTAAAATGAAAATAGGCAGTTCCTTATATCATGTTTACATTTTATTGTTGAGAAAGTGAAACAACGAAGCCAGGGTGATGTGAATGAAGTTATAAAGTACACTGTTCCCTTTGAAGATTTACCCGTGTCCTCGGTATAGTCTGCTTTTCTATATCAAACTGAGAAGAAGAGATGCAGCCTTGATCAAACTTGCAAAGTCTGAACTTACACGGAGAAGATGCAGGACTGAACTGTGCGTGTTAGGCTACTTAATATTCAGAAAAAGCCCCAATCAGAGAGGCGAACGTCTGCAGCCCCGCCTCCGTTTTCAGATTTCTCCGTTTTCCATCATCCACACTGAGACGGAGCAGCAGCGTTTTAGAATGAAAACGGCCTCTCCAGCGTTTTCGAAACGATCCGTTTTCGGCGCTCGAGAACTCCGGCGTAGTGTGGACGGTTGGCGTAACCGTAGCAAAACTTATGCGTTTTCAAACTAAAACGCATTAGTGTAAACGGGGCCTTAATATGATCAACGACGTTTAAAAAGTGAGAATTCTAAAGATATAATTGTATTCTGACCAACATATTCGACTAGATCATATTGTAACAACTAGGTCATACCTGGTGACCCAATAGCAATGTGGCACTTCTTCAGGTGCTGTTTATCTTGACTGATAGGTCGACCACCAATGAACACATGGCACTCCAAACCCTCCATAGCACTGCCTATCGCCATGACAACAGCGTGAATCTGCACTGCAATCTCCCGAGTGGGGGCCAAAACCAGCACCTGATGGGACCAGATACGGTGCATTATAATAAAACAGACATATACTAACATCTTAGGTGATTAAATAAGATAGGGCTGTAATTTAAAGGTAAATATTAAAGGTAATATGATAGGTGCTGGCTCCATACTGTGAAAAATACAACATACTCCAGAAAAAAACAAAACAATATACCATTAGCAATCTTGACAGTAATAAGTAAAAAACGATAAATACGCTAAGAAAAAACATATATAATTAAAAATAGACAGTCAAAAAGGTGTACACAGACTGTTGGTGGAAAATGATTGCAGACAAGATAGATAGATAGACAGACATAGAATCATTGGCCACTACCAACAAAGACAAAGAATTTAGAGCTACAATGTAAAAGTAAAACCTTTATAAAGGTAAGAAATACAGGACTGAACACTACTTAGTAATACAATAGTAAAGTAACAATAACTACCTGTGTAGTTGCGTTTTCCAATATAAGAGAGTCCAAGGCGATGGTGGTGAACACACAGGTCTTTCCTGTGCCAGATTTGGCTTGAACAATTAGATCTAAACAGAGGAAAACATTATTTATCAGCATTATTATGATTATTATTATTATATATCAAAGTGTGGCCAAAATAACAGGTTTGTCGCTGTCATTAATGCATTACTACTTTTCTGAATGTCAATACACTAATGTGACAAAGAACAGCAGATTAAGCTTTCTGACTAATAATAACAAAGTCGTTGTAGGCTTGTTTTGCAAGTGATTGGAGCTTTCTCGGATCTCATACCGAGTCCACATCTTCCCAGCGGGATTGCCTTTAGCTGGATGGGAGAGGGTCTCTGAAAACCGGAAGCAGATAAACCCTCAAGCACGGGTTTTGAGAGGAGTAAAGAGCTGAACTCGACACCGCCGCTAATCAAAACATCATCCGTCCGGGTTCTCGATTGCAGCTCATGCGCTGCTTTCACAGATGCCGCCATGTTTCTATCGCGACAACGTTCTGTTTCTTCTACGGTGAATAAATGACATGAGCTGTGAATCACTGCGCCCTCCTGCGCACACATACAGAACCGCTGCCTGGAATATCGAGCCACGTCCTGCAGAGGGCGACAAACACTCATGATTGGCATAAACCAGCGATGAAATCACAGTTTTTCTCAGTGGCTTTGGTGCATTTCTCACAACACTATTTACACTATTGAACAACAGTTAATGAGTTTCTCAAAAACAATTAGAGATTTGTGCACATGATATTAGCAGTTTCTAATTCCTTCCAACAAATTGCAAGAGCTTTTGGACATGCTACAATTGCTTTCATACAACTCTCTGCTGTTTATATCATTATCATTTGCTTATGTCATGTCAGTCAAAATAAACTGAACTTGTGAATGCTGAATAGTCATTCCATAACAGACTCATTTCATTACTTGTGTCATTACATACAAGAACATTGAACTAGTCAAAATCTGTCAAGCAAACTTTATTCAAATCTTTAAATCTTTTTTTTTTTCCTGAAAATGTCTTCTAAATTGATCAATTTCAATAATGATTTACAGACTTACAGTATGTATGTTGTAGCTTCAGTACCAATATGTACTGCAATATTGTTTACAGTTTTGCAGAGGCTCAGAGCTCTACCCAAAGAAAGTTTGTTTGTTGTGAATAAGAGTGTATTTATTCTTTTGCACAATGCGTTGAATAAATAGAGTTAGAATTAGATATTAGCACATGCAGTAAAAAAGTGAATCATGCATATTCAGTGTGTTGTACTCAGATACCTCACTAAATGCATGGATTACTGTAGTCTTCAAATGGCTGTGCAAATGCAGTGCTTTCTTGAGGATTTTCAGTGTCACCAAAATCTGACTTTGGAAAACAGTTACAGAGTAAACTGTCATAATGAAATCATGACAAAGCCATTTGACTATCTTGTTCATAAACAATGGTGTCAGGACTTCATCTTGATGACACTGACACTTTCATTGACATCAATACTTGCTTTTGAGGAATGAGCTATCCATTTGATGATTTGAAACACATCTATTTGAGCATGTGACGCGCTTTTGCAGGTTATCAACCAGGTTTTTCAGTTTGTACTAATTGTTTTGAGAAACGCATTAACTGTTGTGCAAATGTAAAAAGTGTTTTGAGAAATGCGCCAAAGCCACTGAGAAAAACTGTAATTGTATTATCTTTCTATATCAAAAGATGTTTGGTGACTAAAATACAGTTTTATTAAATATTTCTGTTTAATACACCTGTTTTGTTCAAATGCACCAAAATATATTACTTATATTCACTGAGAAATGGAGAAAAATATTCAGTTTCAAGATGGGGAATAATCAATTATGCTGGGCACTGTAAAACTTTATAGAATTTGTAAAACGGTAATTATTGTGACCTGTAGTATTCTTAATTAAATATATAAATGAATAAGCGACCGTGCTAAATTGTAATATAATTACTTTATTAATTACTGAATTGGTAAAACACAGATGTAACTGAAACAAAGATTTAATATGACATCTAACAAAACTATTTGGGGCTGCACTGTGTGATTCTGAAATAGTCTTTTAATATGTTTCATGCAACATGATTTTTGTTTTAAATTGACCTGACAAACATTTTTTTGGTAAATAACACATTTTAGTGGGTGTCTTCTTCTAAATTAATACATTATAATATTGAAAAATATGAAAACAACTTAACAGGAAACCTATATACAGGAAACCTAATAGGTTTACAAAGGCTATCTTTTGTAAAGAATGCATATGGCAATAACAATGTTGTAACAGAATACCAAAAAAAATTCATTTAAACTGAGTAATTCCTTGAATAAGCTGTTTCAATACCATATTAAGGGATGTAATCAAAAACAATGGTCCCAACCATTTTTATTTGGTCCAATGGTCCAACCATTTTTTATTTATGCAGCTTCCAAGAATTCTAAACAAGTTACATATTGATAAAGTTATGATAGCTGTTTTAACATTAAGCTATGATTGAATTGCTTCTTGTTACAGTTCTGAATTAGTTCGATAACAAGCAGGAAATGCTCATGATCCACAGGGCCAATAACATGACCTCATTGAAATTGTCTATAGGATCTTTTGTCAATAATACACATTTTATAAAAAGAATCCATCTCTAAAATAATTAATTAATGAATTAATCTTAAACATATGTAAATGTATGGTATATATATATATATATATATATATATATATATATATATATATATATATATATATATATATATATATATATATATATATATATATATATATACATGTATATTTAACAAAATCACAGTTTCCTAACACGGACTAAGGCTCTTCCCCCCGTCTAAAATCCAATCAAAGCACAGTTAAAGTTGTACGATTGTCCCTCTATTGTTATGCACGAACCCTCTATTCTTCCTGAACTGACCACTGGAGCGAAAGCAAGAGTTGTTTTGTTGACGGACAACCGTTAGTTAATCCCATTCAGGGACTTTCCCTCAAATCATCAGCTCTTTTACACCACATCAGTGCCTCCTTCTGCTCGGGGGCACGGATGTCTCCTGAATATGTAATGTGAAGAGTGTCAGAGGCTAGAGAAGGAATATTATATTAACATAACGCTGGTTATACTTCATCACTGACCTGAAACTAAAGCGAAGGAAACCAAAGATCTTAGCGGCAGCGACATCAAATTGGATGGAGATTTAAATCAATCAACCTGCTTGTAGCATTAAAATAATTTCATTCTGTAACGTTATGTCGGCAAACATGGAGGAAGGGAAAACGGATATCGATGACATGAAGAGCAACCTTCATCGTCTAAGAAATGAACTGGTGAGATTTTCTTGATCTTAATCGGCACTTACTTTCACAGCACAGGTGTGGTTCTGTGTTAACAGTATTCTTTGATATGTACGTGTATGTAATTATTGTATCTTCGCGTTATGAACAAATTAGTGCGCGTTTCACCGGCTCGGTTCTTCTTCACTTATCTGTTTTGTTTGCGGTGAGTTGTTGACGTTCATCCAGCTGTTGGCTGCGTGCCGGTGCGTGCAGCGTGAGAAAGGTGCAACCTGATTGGAAGCGGCTGTTTGAAAGGAAGCCGCTGATTGGCTGGCACTATGTCTTCTGTAATGTTTTAAAATTTGAGTTCTGAGTGTCTGCGTGCGACCATCACACAGCAAAAACTATATGAGATAAAAACCACCAGAAAAACGTGCTTGACTAATATTTCACAACAACCGATCATTTTAATGTAATGTTGATTTATTTTGGGAACACATGGTAGGTAGTATTAAGTAAGCTAACTTATACAAAAGGTATTTATTAATCTGCGTTGATGTCTGTTTGTATATTTACTTTTATTTAATAATATTTAGATATTTTAATGTTAACTAGGATTAATAAATGCTTTAGGGGTATTTTTTAACGTTATAGGGTAAAAACACTTCATTATCACCACACTCTGCCCCGCTGGTTAACGTAATTACATAATGAATTGTATTATTTTTGTATTGCAAATTTTCTAAATTGTTCAGTTTGATCAAATATGTGCTTATTAGCATACTTTTGCAGCACAATAATTTGAATGGTAAATAAAGCCTCACAATTCTTTCTTACATTTTTTGAATAAAAGGCTTTCACTGAGTAAAATTTGGGTTTCCTTTTTAACACTCCATAATCCAGACAATACTGTGAATTAGGGCTGGGCGATTTGGCCCAATTGAACATTTAACTCAATTACAATTACTAAAAGATTGTTTTATTTGTTCACTTTATTTTTTGCCTTCATAATTCACTGACAAGTTTTGTACAGTAAATATGCTCACATATTACAAGAGATTTCTGAATGAAGGCTGCATTACTTGATTTTAAAATAATTGAAGGAAAACACACATTACTGACTATATATGATAATTTATTGAACATCAACGTTGAACAAAAGAAATTAAATCACACAATGGCTAAAAAAAAGTTGAGAGTAAGCAGTTTTACTTTTAAATAAAATCTAATTTTATATCCTGTAAATAATATTGTAAACAGTGCATTTCTTGAACCTTCTGTAAACAAATATTTTAATGTAAATGGTCATTTTATTGTAATAAAAATATGCCGTCTCAAGGCATGTCTGGCACAGCTTCCAATCATCATCAATGGAATGCAAAGATGTAGCATGTAGTTAAATTTTTGAGAGATGTGCGGGTATGTGACCAAGTGAAGGCTGCGCCAGCCTACACCATACCTGTGCATTCAATGCAGAAGTATAAATCAGCCATAACAGAGTGGGGTCACATGACTCCACACATGGTAGGGAAAGTAATTGAAAAAAATTACCTGGAAAAATTAGATCGTTATAGGCTCTGGACATCGATTCCGATTATTTTACGATTAATCACCTAGCCCTACAGTGAAAAGCCAAAAAAGACAAATAATAACAATAGTAATAACCATAATGTAAGTAATAACAAAGTAAGTAGTAAAAACACTGAAAATCCCCAAATCTCTAAATTGACAGATGCATAAAAATACATGCTTTTGTCTATATGTGTCATACCTTAAGTTGGATGTATTAATTAATAATTCGGCCTGTCACGTTAATTAATAATTAGGCCTGTCACAATCTCTTTTTTTGTTGTACAATATATTGCACCAAAACACGTTGCAATAAATTATTTTATTGTCATTTTAAGACCATTTCTTTACCATTCATTACATAATGCCAGAATGACAATATAGTATAATCACAATGCAAGTACACTCTTCCAAATTTCATATAATTATAGCCATTTTACCAGTTTAATAATGAGGCATTGGAATCAGAATGTGAACACGTATATCCTAAATAAATAAATAATAATAAATGTAAAAAAAAAAACAAAAAGTGCAAGGTAAAAAGTAACAGGGGCTGTTATATCTTCTACCAGATCTATTTTCAGTTGGTTGTATTGTTGTACTATATTAAAATACTTAATAATTTTTTTTTAACTACTTACACTGACTCCTCCAATAAAGATAGAGAGGTTGCCAAATCAGCTAAAATCATGCTAGAATTGTTTTATTTTTATTTTTATGGATGGGCGATATATAGTGATTATTGTGACAGGCCAATTAATAATGTTTAAGGATGAGAAATGTGTAGGTAATAAGCATACGCATGTAGGCAATAAGCATAAGCATGTAAGATAATAAGCATACAACTTTAGTTCATGTTACTTCAGTTTTATTATTGTATCAGTAACATATACGGCTTATTACCAGCCCATTATTTAAAAATTGGCTGTTTATTCAGCATGATTTTATTTCACATCCCTAATCCTACCCTAACTATAATCTTAATAAGTAATAACAATCAGCAAATCTGGTGGCAAAAATTAGTTCATTGTTTGTTAATAGTGAGAATTGTATCCTAAAATAAAGTGTGATTATATTATATTATATTTAATAGATTAAATTAAAAGTTATATTAGTAAAAGATTCATAAATAGTCCAGTAGTATTTGAATGTTAACTATTGTGTAAAACTGGTAGGTGCTAGATGAGGAAACCGGCCGAAAAGGATGTTACTCACAACACATCCATCATTAGCTGATGTGGTAACCGATGTCAGATTAATGTTGCTGTCCGTCTGGGCAAATCCGTAAGGAAACTGACACACAGGAGACAAGTGAAATCACACAATGATAAGACTCAGAACACAGTAAAATACAAGCCTCAACTGTTCATCTGTGATTCACATTCAAGTCATTTCAGCCTCATGCCCTCTGGCTCCTACATCTCCCATCATGCTTTGAGACGCAGTATTACTGTAGAAAAGCCCCAGTGCTGCTGTGCTCAGACTGGCTGGTGATCGATCACACTAGTAAGGCAGAGAAGGAACAGAAAACAGGGTGAGGAGTGAGGCGAGAGAAGCAAGACTGCAGTGAGAAAGAAAGAAGGTAAAACGACTGGGGTTTTATTCGCTGCTAGAAAAAAACAAGGTGCTTTTTAAGGCATTTGTTTGTAGTGTGGTGTGAATGGAATTTGTTTACATGTGTTAAATTAGTCATACAAATAAATCCAACTGAACAAACTGGGAAATAGTGTAAATGTATGTTGTGGGATTTTGTGGCACCTTTTTATTTTGAAATAAATTATGTTTAAAGGCATAAATGGTTGATGGTTGATTTTTGTATTTAACAAAAATATGCTATGAAGTGTATTTGGTAATGAGACAACTACGGTGCTCATAACTGAGTACACCCCATTTTAAAAACGAATATTTGTATTCATTTCCCAGTGAATATAGGCAGTGTATTTTGGTGCATTTGAACAAAAAGATTTATGAAACAGATATATTTATAAAAATAATAATACTAGTCACAGAACAAGCTAAATATTACAAAAAAATTACAACCTGCAACATTTCAAAAAGTTGTAAACGTGGTTTTGTTTCTCTTGATTTTGGCTATTTTTGAAAAAAGTATTTATTATTTTAACATTAACATTAAATATTAACATATACATTTATATTATTTTAACATATACATTTGGGCTTCTTATATTTGAACCATTATTGTATGTTATTTTGTTAGATAAGCTCCAGATTTGGCTTCAGTACTGACTAAACTAATGTATATGCGCAAAAATATTATATTGTAAAGCTTTCTAGAAAATATTGATTTAAATGAGATTTGTGGGGGTGTATTTATATAAATGCTGAGCACTGTATAGACATATACAGAAAATCCATAAATTAATTGAAACAACAAAAATGCAGAGTCAAGATTCAGTGAATCTACTATTTTAGAAAATAAATGGTTATATTTTATCCAGTCATGTGTATACATTGGTCTGAATGGAGCACTCATGCACTGTACAAGATTATGTTGTTTTAAAAAAATCTCTTTTGCTCACTGAGCCTGAATTTATTTGATTAAATATGCACAATTTAAAAATAGAAAGTAATAATATTGTAAAATATAATTACTTGCAGTATATTGGAATGCATTCCTAGTGATGGGTTGCAGCTGAAAGGGCATCCGCTGCGTAAAATTTATGCTGGAAAGTTGGCGGTTCATTCCCCTGTGGCGACCCTAGATAATAAAGGGACTAAGCCAAAAGAAAATGAATGAATGAATAAAAAAAGAAAAAGAAAAAAACTACATTTTATTATAGATTTTTTTATAACAGTGTAAATGTACTGTGAATTTTGATCCTTTTAGTGCTATACGAGTGTACATTTCTTTAAAGTTCACACTTTATTTTAGGGTCCTTGTTACAGTGTACACTACCGGTCAAAAGTTTGGGGTCAGTTGGATTTTTAAATGTTTTTAAATAAGCTTCTCCTGCTCACTAAGGCTGCATTTATTTAATCAAAATACAGAACAAATTGTAAAATTGTAAATGTTATTACACTAAAAAATAACTGTTCAAAAATAGTTTATAATTTAATTTAATCATTTATTCCAGTGATTTTAAAGATGAATTTTAAGCTTCATTACTCTTTGGAGTCACATGATCCTTCAGAAATCACGCTAATATTAATTATTAATGTTATTAACAATATTATTATTATTAACGGTAATAGTAATAAAAGCAACAATAACCGGAGCAATAATTTCATTCTAAACTACATACAATAAGTAATAAACAAATATTTAATAAATAAGTGTTTAACAATTGATCAATTCTTTATTACATTTAATAAATGCCGCCTCGATGAACAGAATATTGTTTTTTTTTTTTAACTGACTCCAAACTTTTAACCGGTAGTTTAATTAAGTACTGAGCAATATTAATGAAGAACATGTACTTTATGGGTTGTTGTTACACTGTAACATAAAATTCTTGCTGCTTTAAATATTTTAGTTTATCAATTAAATAAAATTTTGATCTCAACTTAAATCAGACAAATTGAAACATTATGGTTAAACTTTGTATAACTTAAAATAGTAAATTTTACTGAAAATATAAATAGTGAAAACCTGATAAACTTTTTAATATAACTTAAAAAAAGTTATGATTTTTGTTATATAATTTTTACAGGGTGTTATAAGAGTTAGATTTAGTGTTAGTTGCAAGTAATTCAGAAACGTTTACTGTCAGTGTGTAGCCTACATGGAACATGTATAGCAAAGTTGCCATGAAAACAAACAAACAAACAAATAAATGAATAAAACCATGAAAATCATTCTCAATTCAAATTTTTTTTTAGTTGGTGCCCACACATAGAAATAGTTTCATCAAAATAGTTTCAAAGCAGCTTTACAGAAATAATTCCTTTGCTCTCACAGTAAGCACAATTTACTGGTGCATCCTCTTCAGTAGATGCTGAGGCAGGCATCTCAGATGGCACAGGGGGTGGAAATTGCAGACTGTTTGGCGTGCTATTGATTTTTGATAATTACTGTTCAGCGTGAGATAAGCATTATTCATCACTCACAACAGAATTCATTTATAATTGCTTCATCATGTCATATAGTAATTGCTCTCCTGCTGTCCTGCCTATACCCTTATAGAATTCCTTGTGGCAGTCAGATGAAGGTCTCCACGATCAGATGAATTCAGTGATCGGTGCTCTCCAGGAGCTCAAACTCTTGCAGGTCCAGACGGCACTGGATGAACTGGAGATCTCCAACCAAACCAGCCAGGCCAATCCAAACACCAGCTCCATGCTTGAGCAGAGAAACCACAGCTCAAGAAGAGCAGCGCACAATCCAGAAGAAGCTCTCGCACAACAATGCTTCAACACTCGCCTCACCATGGAACCTTCTTTGTTCCTCACAAGTTCTCCAGCAGAAATTCGCCATATTCCTAGAACACATGGACACAGAAAGATTCACAGAGGTAGCTTAAGCACTTCTTCATCTTTTTCCTCTCAGGAAGACTCAACCGACAGCAATTCCTCCTCATACGCCATTGACGACCCCAGCGATTGGACTGCTTCACTGATGAACCACAGCAGAAACAGACAGCCATTAGTGTTGGGTGACAACGTGTTCGCAGATTTGGTTGGAAACTGGTTGGATTTGCCAGAAGTTGGAGGCCAGGATTCAATTGAGGAGGAGAACAACTCGAACTTCAAAAACTCAAATTCAGAGTCCTCGTCTAGCACTCATTCCCAGCATCTCTCCAAGAAACTCTCGCTAACTGCTAGCATTTTCAAACGGGTTTTGCGTCGCGTTCGACCACAGCACTACCAAGAAAGCCAAGAGATGGATGTATGTAAACAACCAAAGGTCACATGCAGAAAGGCCAAAACAGATGCCAGCAAGCCATTCTGGGGGAGAACAAGAGGAATGAAGAAGAAAACCACGCCCATTCAGCAGGAGGGTGTGGCTTGTCAGGGTTCAGAGGGTTTGATGGACAGATGGGTGGAGATTGTGGAGAAGCATCCACCTGTGTTTGATTACAACTCAGCTGTTTGGGTGTAATTCTAAATGGAAGCGATTAAGTGTTATTGGCATGCAATTAGTGGACATTCGGATTAAAATGTTTGTAAATGCAAATTGTCAAAACATTTACATAAAGGTTAAACATTTGAGTCAGGTATTAATAATGGATTCAGGTTGGAAACAACATCGCGAAATACAGCATATTGAATAAAAACTACTCACTCATAATATTTCTTCCAAATTTCAAATAAAAAAACTTTTTTTCACCTCATATGATCATTGGTCAAAATAACAAACGCAACTATTTGTTGGGATTGAATTTCTGGGTTTTTCCACCAAATACAGCATTTCTAAATTAAAGCCTTGATACTTTATTTTTAGTTATTTTGACCAATTGTCATTTTATGCTTTAAATAACATTTTTATTTTAAATTTAGAAGACTTTATTAACAGTTTTACCAAAACACAAAACTATCAATTGTAGAAACAGAATATTCTCATTTGCCCTATTGCTCTACATCTAGATTTTTAGATTAACTACGATATTAAATTATTTATATTATACTTTTTTTTTTTCAAAACTGACACAACTCTTATTTCCAAAACTCATCAACCTACATGTCATACAAAATTGAACATTTCTTACGACTTCGCTTGGCCATTGCTGAGAATATCTTTTTTGACTATTTAACTTGAAAGATAAAAGATTTTAAGTCCAACACTCCAGAAGCTACTGATTCCAAAGACACCAGGAAAAGCATCTATTTATTTGTGTTAGAGAGAGAATTCTTTGGATTAAAACAAGCATGACAAAGAAAACTGAAATGTGTTTTCAGTTTGAGTTTAACAACCAAACCTACTGTTTCGGTGAGGTCTCTTGAGAACCTGAACAGTTTCTGCTGATGCTGGTTTCCATCAGTTTAGGAGATTACTGTTGATCACTCAATGAGAAAAAAATGCTGATTGGTGCTGTTTCTTTTTTTTTTTTGCACAAATGTCTTGTTTGGTAAAATCTTTGCATGCATACACTTGCTTTATGTTTAGGAGAAACCTATGCAATGACTCTTGATTGCTATGCAAAAATGAACAAATGCAAATACCTGCCTGATTAATGAGCATCTTCATATTTTGGTTGTATGTGTGGGTCATGTAATAATTGCTATACCTATTTAAAGTGTTACGCAAGACACTGTTTTTTAAATAAAGAAAATATCGAATCTTTATCAATTTCTTAATTGTTTCGCTTAATTTTATTTAACACAATTTAATATGCAGCTATTTTGGTTCATTCCCAAGTTGTAAGGCATATTGCGTAAAAGTATTAGTGAGGTAGAGTTGTGTTTCTTTAGTGCTGAATCTGCAGGACAGAAGCGGTGAGGAAGGATGATCTAAAAATGCACATACAACATCAAATCAATATGAAATACATTTATTTAAATCTATGTCGAAAAAAAACCATAAAGCACACATCACTTTAAAAACAAAATCAAAAGCCAGCCAGACACTTTGTTTGAAATGCTCAACTAAACCATGGAGGAGAACAACAAAACTAAAACATCTGACTCACCGAGACTGTTCTTAACTTGGCAAATGAAGTGTCAAGGCCTGACTATTGATTATTGGTTTAGCGGTTCTCGGAGGAGAAGTCATCTCTAGATTATAGATCTGATTTCATCCTTCTCCTGCTCAGGCACAAAACGGTTGATCCCAGGCTGAGCAACAGCCTACCGCAAAATACAACCAAGAAAAAAAACAACACAAAGAAAATATACTAAAATTCAATTATCTTTAAAAGCTGGAAAATTAAAGTCATTTTGATTGAGAAAAAAAAGCATGTTCTTTAGTACAATATATCTTTATCCTCAAGATAGACAGATCCAAATTTCTTGTCATTTCAATTTTAACCTTGCCACCCTAAAGGAAAAAAAAGACATTTTCTTTATTTAATTTATCACAGTTTCTTTAAATGAAAGCAAATAAGAGTCTAAGCATATTATGGGGAATATGAAAGCAGTGAGCGCTCAAAGTCACTCAGGAAAGATGCTTTGATGAATGATGAACACGGCTTCTTCTTTACAAATGATTATTGAAGGTCCAAACATGACAAAAAGTATTAATGAGCAAGTTTTATAGTGTCCCAGTTCCCTCTGTAGGCGTTAAGAAAGTCCCGAACCCTCTTCCAGAAAGTCTAACCCCCTTTTTCCATGTCACAGACGGAGAATCAGCTCTCCAGACACAGATCCTTCAGAAAAACAACAGGAATCAAAAAGAGGGCCAAGAAAAAAACCTTCAAGACTGTTCTGGAAGAAAAGGCAGAGGCTGCATCTCTCATTTTCTGTCAAGTCTGTGTAATATTTGAGGAGTCTGTGGTGTTCTGCCTTATTGATTGTTTGGCCATTAACTGTAGAGAGGAACCGGAATGTTGGCCAGCTGGGCAACAGTTCTTCATTTCGGCAATCTGAAAAAAGAATAAGAGAGAGGAAGGAAACAACAATTATTAACAACAACAACAACAAACACATGTATGATGGGCAAACAGTTCAGTTGTGTGTTTTGAGTATTTTTGCACTACATAGTTTGTCCACAAGGTGCACAGTTGCAAAAGAAACAGTGACGAAACAACAGCAACTACTCAAGACGGCAACAACAATAGATGGCAGCGTTGACAAGTGCATGCAATCCTAATTTAAAAGAGCACAAAGACGTTTTTTACCTAATAACCCTTTGAAGAAATAAAATGCAAACACTAGACTAGGATAAATATTTCTAGGGCTAATTTTCTTGAGAACCTTGGTCCAGGAAAGTCAAATAGTGTGTATTTTGTGGCTGTGGATTTGATTGTGTATAATATTTATATATGAGATTGTGTATTGATAATTATAAATGAAAAAAAAGAGAAAGATTTGGGTATGAGGGTGACGTGGTGGCGCACACAGCAAGAAGGTTGCTGGTTTAAGCCCCAGCTGGGTCAGTTGGCATTTCTGTGTGGAGTTTGCACATTCTCCCCATGTTGGTGTGGGTTTACTCTGGGTGGTCTAGTTTCCCCCACAAGTCCAAAGACATGTGGTACAGGTCAATGGGTAAGCTAAAATTGTCTGTAGTGTATGTGTGTGAATGAGTATGTATATTGGTTTCCCAGTAATGGGTTGCAGCTGGAAGGGCATCCGCGGCATAATACATATGCTGGATAAGTTGGCGGTTCATTCCACTGTGGCGACCCCAGATAAATGAAGGGACAAGCTGACAAGCTCTGTGAGAGCTCATCTGGAGTCACGCGTGGATAAACAGTGTACGCGACGCTCGACAACAATAACTTGCGTGTCTAAGGAGGATTATTGTTTACCTGAGAGCTGTTCTCATCTGCAAACGCTGAGATCCAGATTTGCTTGTAGTCTTCTCTTAATAAAGACGCGGCTCTAGTTGCTGGTGATTGTCCAGTCTCTACAGATTTGGTAAGTGAGCGACCAGTGCTCTTTGTTTATTCAGTTTGTTCGTATCGAACTAAGTTAACTATTGCACAGAGTGTAAACATGTTAGCACCACAACCAAACTTTAACCTCGTGTAGGGTTTTCACCGCATTTAGTGACCGGAATAACACACGCGGCTTTCTGACACTACCTGCCGTGTGCATCTATGTTTCCGGGAAATGCGGAGGTTTTTTTTCTCTCATTCGCCGTGCGGTATCAAACATTGCATGAAAAATACACGCTTAGAGCAGATCCTCGAATCAAATATCGCGTTTGTCGCGAGGGGCATGAATGAATTCCCTGAATGAAAGAGCCAAACTGCAGTTAAAGACCAACATTTAATAATTTGGCAAATAATTCGACTACAGATGTCCATGTAGGTTAAACACCATCACTTTCTACTGTGTGTGTGTGTGTGTGTGTAGTTTGACTCTGAAACGCACGCGTGCCCAAATAGACACTCCCACACCATCCCACTTTAGTTCCTCCGACACTCCCCCCTAAACAGAGCTGGACACGCCCACTTTTCTGACTTTTTCCAAAGTAGAGGTGTGAAAACACCCTGCTGAAACGAGGGGGTTTCATGGCCCTTTAAAGCAATTTAAAGTGTTTAACAAAAATTTAAAAAAAGTAAATCACATTTAATACTCTTTACATTGTGAGTAAGATAAAGATAAAATCCAATGAGTTTCTACAAATGAATATAGGTATCACACCATAATAATGCAGAATTTTGTAGATTATTATTTTTAGTCAGACAATATTAGCCTAGTAGGAAAAAAGGGGTATGTACAATTAACTGCTGGATTATTGATAATGGATGAAGAGAGTTCTTGATGATGGACGTGCTGATTCAGTGAGTGTTTACCTGGCTCAGAGCTGCTGCAGTGATGCAGTGGTGTTACAGCAGGACACAGTTTGACTTCTTTTTTGCTCTCTTCTTCTCCACCGGTGTCTTTCTGTTTATCTGTCTAACCAGGTCATAAAAGATCTGACACACACACAAATGAATAGTATTAGTCACTGTATATCTGGTGCAAATGCATTTGTTTTAAAGTCCAAATGAACTTTAACCCACCTCATTGACGTTGATCTTTGATTTGGCAGAAGATTCTAGAAAGGCACAATTACTCCACTGACGGGCAAGATTCTGACCCTGCTCTTTTCCAACCACCCTCTCTTCTTCTAAATCACACTTGTTTCCAACCAAAATCATTGGCACCTACAGAGAGAGCGAGTGAAAGAGAGAGAGACAGAGAGAAATTCAGAGTGTATACCCGGAAAAATTATTTAAAATAAAAAAACACAAAAAAAAAGTAAAAAAAAAAAGACAAATTATTTTAACTAGCTTGGACAGTCTCATATAAAAATTGCATTACATTATGATTATTATCTTATTATTTAATTATATTAAAAAGGAGCGGAGCACAAGTGATACTGGAGTAGTGTTTCTAGGAACTGAGTTAAATATGTTCATACAGATTTGCATAGAAAATAGACAACTGTGATTTCTGGAAAACCTGTGATGAGCAGGGGCTTAAAATATACACATACATGTGGGTGATCTGGTAAAGAAGCAAGGTGAGAGACAGACTAGGTGTGGGAAGACTACTTCTAAAAAAAAAACCTACTTCATTAGTTCTTCCTTCGGGTGGTATTAACAGCCATTATCTGGGCGGTGAAGTTCATTAAATAGTGGACCGAATACCAAATAACCTTACAGATTGTTATACTTAAAAAGTAAAGATATGTTTCAGCAATCACCATGCAAAACAATAATGATTTTTTTTTTCTCAATTCAAATGGACTCACATCCTCGGTGTCCTTCACCCTCAGAATCTGCTCCCGCAGGTCCTGCAGATCATTAAAGGTGGACTGTGCTGTGATGGAGTAAACCAGAGCAAAACCCTGGCCATTCTTCATGTACAGGTCCCTCATCGCCGTGAACTGCTCCTGTAGACAAGCAGTCAATAATCTATTGAGTTCAGATGCAAAACTAATTAGGTAATTGGCTGGAAGAGTTCATGCATCATATTAGACTCACTGTGCCTGCAGTGTCCAGGATCTCTAGCATACATTGCTGCCCATCAACCTCAACTTGCTATAAAAAAAATAAGATGTTATTACTGTGTTTATTTCTATGTTAAGTATTAATGTCTGACTAAAAAGGGATTACTTGCCTTTCTATATGAGTCTTCTATTGTGGGGTCATATTTTTCAACAAATATTCCCTGTACAAACTGGACCGTCTGTAAGAGAAGATAAATGGAAAAAAAAAAATTAATTCAGTCCAAAATAAATGCTAATGAGCAGAGAAGAAAATATTACAGAAATGGTATCTAATGGTAATATGTTGAATATTTAACTAACCAGTGCAGATTTTCCTACGCCGCCAGAGCCCAAGACCACAAGCTTATATTCACGCATGGTGGCCTGTAAGATTACATCACACACACACACACATATAATTCATCAGTAAAATGCCAGTTTGAAGCAATCAATGGTTTATAGTTTTTTAGAGGACGTGGTTAGCACACTAATAGACCCAGAAGAATAACTGTTAACCATGTTTTACCACCTTTCATTCCATGTTTGTTACTGTCAAACCATAGTCACCATCTTCCTCAATCTGCTCTTAATATGTTGTGTCAACATTTTCTATTATTTTTATGGTGGTAGATTTGTCCATTTATGATTTTATTATATATCATTTACCATAGTTTTTTGAGATTTAACACCACTATTCTTTAATCAAATATATTG